CCCCTTCGACAAATTTATCGACAAAAAAACAACAAATTTATCGACAATTTGTCAACAAAATTTTGTCGATAAATTTGTCGATAAATTACTTTCGACAAATTTACCGATAATTTGTCGACAATTTATCGACAAAATTCTATCGTTTTTTGTCGACAAATTTATCGATAATTTGTCAAGTAAATTTGTCGACAAAATCGGAAAATTTTTGTCGATAAGGCACACTGGCCTAGATGAACCAACCTCTAGGCTTATCTACTATCTAGATGTACTTTTTCAGACTACCGTAAAAACACCCGGATCGTCCACTTTGAGCCTATATATCTTATTTTCTGTGAAAGATATCAAAAAGTGGNTGANTAGTAAAATGTTGCTGATATCCTGATAAACATTTTACTAGTTAACCACTTTTTGATATCTTTCAAAAGAAGTGAGATATATAGGCTCAAAGTGGACGATCCGGGTGTCGTTCTATTAGAGGTTTTACGGTATGTACCCTCTGAGTTAATCTTGAACATGATGTACCCTATTTCGATGTACCCTCGGAGTATGGGCCATCGTGTGGGAATACGGTAACTGAAAGGTAATAATAATAATAGTTTATTCAATGAAGGGCCGAAGCCACTTACTCATGAAGTCAAAAATGTGTTAGTAAGTGTTATGTTTCAAAAATAAATATTTTCCAAGATTACAATTGAGAAGATTAGACGAAAAAATAGATGAACTGGGTATTGGGGGGAAAACATATGGGGGAAGATCATTCCAACAATTTAAAGTTCGATTGGGGATATATTGAGACAAAATTTTGTTAGAATTACTAAAGTTAGAACGAACATAAAATGGGTGTCTACGTAAATTGGGTATAGTTGGAAAGGAGAAAAAAGGGGAATATAAAAGAGTTTCCTTTGAAACAATTACTTTATACAAAAAAACTAAGTCGGAGTGAAGTCTCCGAGATTCTAGGGTGGGAAGATTACAAACAGTTAAGGCCTTGAAATATGATAAATATGGGATGTGGAATTTTTTAAATAGTCTATAAATAGGCACCACAACGATTTTTTCAAACTCATTTTTCCTGAGAATTGTTTATATTATCGTATTCACCATATCAATATTAGTATAATTCCGAATTTTTTTTCGAAAATGTTCATCCGTTCTCGAGATACACCCTTTTTTGTAACCCCCTTTTTCATCCATTTTCTCTGAGGGGGTTGCAGTGGGCATGGAAAAGTGGGCGGGGCAAGGTGGGCGGGGCGACGCCTTTTGCAAACGTGCGGCGCAGAAAATTCCCGATTTATTGCTGTGATGTAAGAACATTGGTTTTCAGTGCATACACCGTTACGTAAAGTTGCACAAAGTTTGGAAAACCACTGAAAAAAGACTTTTGATACAGCAAGGAATCGAACCATGGCCGGTGGCGCGCCGTCCCGAAACACTACCCACTACTCCATGCGCGCGCTGACAGTTGGCTTATTGAAAGGCTGATATGAAGCACGCGCTGCCTCTCTTTTCTAAACAACGATTTGAACACATTTTATTCACATTTTTAGGTGGAAATTGAGATATTAAAAAAATGGGGGAACAGGTAGAAGTAAACTCGAACATGTATATTTTAGCAAATTTTTCGTAGAATCTGAATATGTAATAAAAATCTGCGACATCGACCTGCATTACCGTCAAAATTCGCAAAAACGTCTAAATTTTAGAACCATGTCATCTTTGGATGCGTTTTTTGCCAGCTCAAACTTTTTCAAATGTCATCAAATTGCATATCTGAACAGTCATAGAATTGATCTAAGTATTTTGATATTAAAAACATGGGGTCATCGCTGAAAAAAATTCACAATTTTTGCTTGAAGTTTGATGGATTACTGCAAAAATGGGGGAACTGCTGGCTAAATATGGCTTAATGCATCTTATTCACCATCTAAAAAAGTATTTAGAACAATCATAAAAAGAAGCGACATCGACTTTTATTACACTTTTCAGACCAAATTTCTCATGTCGATTTCTGTTTTTCACGAGTATTTTGAAAGTCGTTGGTTTTCAACGCAAACGCTTTACATCAGTCGATTCTACGTGTTTTTTTACATAACGAGACCAAATTTCATAAAAATCGGTCCATCCAGTCTCGAGTTCTACGCCTTCAAACATGCCAGATACCCCCCCCCCCCAAGAGAAAAAAAATTAGGCTCCGCCCCCTCGCGTTGCGGTGCCTATCTATAAACAAACGATTTTTGAACAGAATACAATTTTTGAACGGTTTTTTTATTAAGGACATTTTGAGGTTGACATTATTCGTAGAAAACAAAGAATTGACGGTAGAGAATAGAAATAAAAATAAATAGGAGGTTGGAAAATTAATTTCGACATTAAAAATTGAAAAAAAAACGAGATGGAACTATTAATCATAACTCTCTAACCGTGTTTTTAGATGGGAAAGACTACCGGGAGGATCTAACAAGTTAAAAAAAAATAACCGAGGGCTTTTCACAAGTAATCTAGATGATAATAATTCGAAAGAATGGGACAATCAATAAGTTGGATAGTGACAGTTAAAGTGAGGAAATAACAAAAAAAACCCCAAAGAAACAGAAAAAGTTAATAAATGAAATTTCGAGATTTCGAACTGTTAGAATCCCATAGTTTGTTTAATTAAATGTAAATCATTCCAGTAGAAAGAAAGATAAATGAGAACAACAAGCAAATGTATACAATGAAGAAGCTGGAATAGTGTTATCTGCAGCTCGGTACTAACAGTTTTCCATAATGCCAACATTTTAAAAATGAGGAATGACCAAATGATTCTTCTGCCAAATATTATTCCAGTAGGATCAGTAGACAGTTTTTACAAACAGATACTGGATATGAAAAGTGAGGACCAATTGGTAAAAATTTCTAGAAATTTTTAAAACTTGATAAGATATCAGTTTCTTCAATCACTCAGGACACGACGCATCTCGAAATATAGGAATTTGTATTGCTTGCTCCAATTCCAGAAGAAGATACAATATTCCAGAAAATAGACAATTGATAGGAAATAAATCCAGATGGTGCATATTCAAACATTTTGAGTAGTACGAAAGAAGATTTGACCTCCCTCCTGATCATTATTGTTGGAACCATAGTTTACATATCCCACCGATACGTCCACGGTGTTGGTCTTTTTTCTGGAAAATGTTTATTTTGTAAAATGCTTCCTGATAAAACTATGCTATAAAAGATCACTCAAAGTTTACAGTTTCATTGAAATGAATTCTGAAAAAGAAAATAATGTGAATTCTTTAAAATACCCAACATACCAAAACTAACCTTTCTGTCAATTTTCGGACATTTTGAACATTTTCAGGAGTCCGAAGCTCACCTTTCAAGTTTCTGATCCTTTTGAAAATTTTGGATGATGTAAAACAGAGATAGATTGAAAAAATTGCATTCACTGAATTATTTCATAATTCCCAAATTTTCAGCTATTTGCCGATTTCTAGAAGACACCTTCTTTGGCCCGTTTTTGTACTGAAAACGTGAAAAACAGGTGTCTTTCAGAAATTAGAAAATTTCTTGAAAGCTAGGAATTTTCAAAAAACTCTATGTGAATGCAAAGCTTTCAATCTAGGTCTGTTTTACACCCTCTAAAGATTTCAAGATGATCGGAAACCAGACAGCGAGCTCCAGACTTCCGAAAATACTCAAAATGGCTGAAAATCAACTGGTACTGTAGATAAAATTTTTTTTGATTACTCACCCTGTCAAAAAGTTCCACACCGCCTTCCCACATCCCACTTTTTCATTTCTTCCAATAGTTTGACGATGATTCTGTTGAACTTGGGAGTTTTCTGGGATGTTTCCACCGATTCCAGGAATTTGAGTGGAATTTTCAGTTGATCTTTTGGCAGCTTTGGTTGTTTTGTTTCTGAAAAAAAACAGGGATCAGATTTTTTTTAGGGTCTTAGGCAGTTACAGAACTATCTCAAACGTCCAACTCAACAATTTCTTACCGCCAGCAACAAATGAAAACCCGAATGAATCCACTTCCAGTGATTTTGAAAAAGTTTCCCCTTTCCTTGTTTTTGTCTATTTTCTCCCACTGGGCCGTTAGTATCTTTGCCATGTTTTCCGGGGTGGTTGGTTGATCATCCCTATTATCTTTCATCTTTGTATGTTTCAAGGAATATTCCCAAACAAATGGAGAGAAGAAGACGTAAATTGGAACCGTCTGAAAATGGTTTTTTGGCTGATAGTGTCCAATAGAGCAATCTTACATTGACCCACAAAAACTCATTTCCATCGACAACATCGTCGTCGCTGATCTTCCAGAGATTGAGTGCGACGTAACCAATGTAGCAGAACAAATTGAGAATCACATTTGGCAGAATCAAAATGTTGGATCTTTTGACGTTTGCCATTCGGTGCTTTTGGGTTATTGACAATTTCAAACTGCAAGAAGGGAATTGTTAAGATAAGATTAATTGATGCAAAATATTACCGAGGATCTGACATTTTCCACTTTCCAATTCTACTGACTATGATTGTTGCAGCTCCGCTAACCACGTCATTAAGGAGGAAAGTCTGAAAATTCAATATTATCATTTAGTTTTCGAAAGAAATATCAAAAAAAGAAATCAAGAAATCAAAAAGGTAAAGTACCTATTGATAAGAATCACAAAAACGTTTCTTCAGTTCATTTTCAGCTATTTCAACCATTTTCTAGAGCTCGGCTATCAATTATTTTTTCGAAGTCTCGGATTTTCTTTTGATCATTATAAATCATAAAATTTCCTTCAATTTTGTTCAAAATCACATTTTTAGCTTTTTTAGGAGCACAGATATAGTCTTTTGATATTTGCTAGACTAGAGACGCCAGACAACGAGACACACTGCGTCTCTAGCCTCCCAAACTACAAATGACCGTATCTCGATTTCTAGATGAGCTAGAAACCCAGTTTTTGGACAGACATATGTGAAATTGGAAGAAGAATGTTTTGTATTCAGTAATGGTCGGTCGCGGCTCAAGAAAAAAAAACGTTTCTAAAAAAAGACCTCAGCTAAACCATCCCGATTTGGAGGCTAGAGACGCTAGACCGCGAGACACGCTGTGGATTTAACCACGGAAAATTTCTTGTCACTTACAAAACATATTGATTTTTGAACTTCTGAACGTTTATGCTCAAAAGAGGCACAGTTCAACATATACTTGTCCGATTTAGCATCGACGAAATAGGATGGAACGGTTCCAGAACAAGCCAGGATAAGCTGAAAATGTTTTTTTAAATTTAAACAATTGTAATGCTCCAAAACACACCGAAAGCAAAACAAGGAGGTAGGAGAGTCCAGAATCATGATATCTGTTACTGAACATGTTGATTGTGGTGCTCACACTAGCAGCACCAAAGAAGATTTGGAAAACTAAATGTTCTAGGGTTACTGTATCTTATTCTAACATGATGAGGTTAGTCTTACATGTTGAGGCAACGGACTGAGGGATTCTGATTGCAGCGCAATTTCGGACCGAGTTGAGTAAGTCACAATTGTTATACAATGCTTGATTGGTGAGGTGGTAGCACTGAAACACAATTTTCAAAAATTAATTTTTTTCAATTTTACCTGTGTAGCAGCAAATAACACTGAATAGAGAATGAGTGCAATGAATTTCGAGTAGATTAGCATCTAAACTATCTTTAATAGATAATTTTAAGCTTGATAAGTTCCTTACTCTCATGTTCTGCTCTATATACCGTGCACTGAATTTTATCCATACTTTAATTGTGAAGAAAATCGAGGCAATACTCAAAATAACCATAAAAGATTGGAGAAATAGCTGTCGAGGCTGCCTGGACCGTTCGATCATCCACAATTGGGCCACGGAGCAGTTCATGACTGCTCCTCCGGAGGAATTACCCGGAAAAAAGTTCTCAGCATGTCCTTAGGTTTGGATTAGAAAGAATAGAAAAAACAAGTAAAACAGGACATTTTGAAGATCAGAAATCGTGATAAATGATTCCGAAAAATCCAAACAGCAAGGAAAATAAAGTTACAAAACATGGAAAATAGGACAGTTCGAAAATTCAAAGTGAAGAAGAAATAAAGGAGAGCGCTTCAAAAGAAAAGGATGATGTGGAAAATGAAGGGGGTGCTGAAAATTCTAGTTTAGAACACTTGATCAGAATAATCCACCGAGCAGAGCAATGTTAAAAAATAGGATTTTTGAAATTTTCTATTTCACAAGATCCATAAATTTTCAAAAAAACGTATTGCTTACAATTTTGTCATCGGTTCTATTTGTAAAAAAATTGTGTAACTTAAAGTGTAAATATTTTTGTTTATTAGTATAAAAATGATTTCTACTTCGAATTTTCCATTTTATGAGTAATAAAATTAATTTCGAAGTTTCAGAATATGCATAGCAGACTAATATAATTTTTTTCAAATCTTATGGAATTGTGCTGAGAAGTTGAAAGAAGTCATTACAAGAGATCTTGAATGTCAATCCCCTTGCTGAAAACAAATATGTGGAACCATTTCTAATTTGTAAAGATTAAAAAAACAGAAAAATAACAACAATGTAATAAAGCAACTTCGTATTTGAGCATTTCAAATAGCGCGCCATATATGATTGCGTGAGTGGAGCCTCCGTTGTGTGAGCATCATTGCTTTAAAGGCGCAGATTCCATATTATTGTACTACATATATTCTTTAATTTGTGATACAAGAGATTAAGAAAAAACTGCATTGAGAAAAAAATTGCATTGCTAGAAATGCAAAACTTGAAACTGCGATTTTCGATTTTCTGCATTTCAGACTAATCCGTCTCTTTCGAATAATAGCAAAAAAAAAAGAAAATCATGAAAAAGAAACTCACTTGCACAGCTTTCAATATTATCTGAAAAAAAAATTTTAAAAATTCAAAAAAAAACTCACTCAACCAGTTTCTATGATTTCTGAAATATCGAGAGAGAGAGAGAGAGAGAGAGAGAGAGAGAGAGAGAGAGAGAGAGAGAGAGAGAGGGGGAGGATGAACAACACGAATCCAAATTGCTAAGTTCAACAGAGAGTGATTAGGCGAAACGGGAAGTTATAATTTCTAGTGAGAGCTAGAACAAATTATGGGCGTGGTTTAATGAGAGGATGCCAATTGTGAAATGGGCGGGAAAACAGAGTGAGTGAAATTTCTGAAAATATTATTTCAGGAAAATCAGAAATGTACTAATGAGCTACTGATCCTAATGGACGTTTGAAGAGGTTTCACGACTCCGCAAAAATTATTGTTGACTACAATCAATGGCTAATTGGAATGGCATGATGAATTATGGATGCAAAAAACTATTTTAGGTGTGAAAAATAATACAAAATCGAAAAGTTTTTTTTGATTCATAAATAGTATGGATTCATTATCAACAGATTCTAAATCAGCTTGTTAGATCTGATATTTCCTAAACATACACTTTGAGCTCAATCATCTCGGTTCCTCTGAAAGATATCAAAAATTTGTCAACTTATAAAATGTTCATCATAATATCACTAGTATTTTATCAGTTACCGTAAAACCTCTAATAGAACGACACCCGGATCGTCCACTTTAATCCTATATATCTCACTTCTTTTGAAAGATATCAAAAAGTGGCTAACTAGTAAAATGTTGCTGATATCCTGATAAACATTTTACTAGTTAAACACTTTTTGATATCTTTCAAAAGAAGTGAGATATATAGGCTCAAAGTGAACGATCCGGGTGTCGTTCTATTAGAGGTTTTACGGTAACTGATTTTTGACATCTTTTAAAGGAGTCGAGATAATTGAGCTTGAAATTGATGGTTTGGGTAAGCTTCTGGAAAAAGAAGGCCGTGGCCGGCCGCGGTCGACCGTTTCACACCTTTGCTCATCACATCAACCAGTTGTGGGCGACTAAACTAAAAAAGCAAGCTCAAAAACAACCGGCAAACATCATACCTTTCCTCTCCCACTTCTCTTCTCAGACTCTTTTTCAAATCCAACCCCATAATTACGGCGCCGCAATTTCTCCGTAATTTCCCTCGAGGCACGGGATTCCGTTGCTCGTGATCCTTCATTACTGATTCGTTCTTTTCGTGACAAAAAAACGGTGCCAGGTACCAGCCTGGCACGGAGCAGAACGCCAGACGGAAGGGCAAGGAATGAGAGAGAGAGAGAGAGAGAGAGAGAGAGAGAGAGAGAGAGAGAGAGAGAGAGAGAGAGAGAGAGAGTGAGAGGTGTGGAGAGGGTAAGAAGACGTTACAGTTGGGAAAGAAGAGGGGTCAACTTGTTATGTGTACCGTCAAGATGCATCTGCGCTCCAGTATACACAAGAAAATGAACTTACAAAAAAACTTGTTAGGATTCCACAAGATTCTTGAAATGCAACTTTTTTTGAATGCAACTTTTGAATATCCAGTTGTGTAGGACTTATTAAAGTCTTCTTTAAAGATGATGATAAACAATGTTTTCGAAACATTGAAAATGTTATTCATCATAATTATCAATATTGAGTTGGAAAACAAGTTAAATTGAGGATAAATATGAAAATGTCTAGTTTGGAATTGAACATTCATTTTCTCGACAAACATAAACTTAAAACTGCTGTTTACAAGATATATAAACTTCCTTACACATGTCTAGGACGATTCCGAAATTCCAAAAAGCAAGAAAACAAAAATTACCGTTTATGAAAGTTGTGAAATTCAGTTTCAGCTTCAGAGTGAATGTTAATTAAAACATGTTTGAACAATATCATTACCTGCTGAGAATCCCATTGAAACTTGTATTTTACGGAAAAAGTGTCATTTTTAGCGTTATGATAACATCAAATCGGCTAGGATTCATATAAAATGGTCCTGGATTTTCAGGGTTGAGTTTCTCTAGATCGAAAATAGCTGTTTATCATTATCAGTAAACGCATCAAATTTCAAAAAGTAACCATAGTTTTAGGGCGCTCAATGTTTTGGATTTTAAAAGACAATTTTCAGAGAATAAAATAAAAATTGATCTTATGTGTTCCATTTCAATATTATTAGACAACCGCATAAAGTTTTAGCCAGTAACAATAATTTCAGGTCTTTCAGAGTTGAGAATGCAAAATGCGCATTTTCAGGGTTTTCCAATGTAGCTGGTTTCTGATGTTCCGAACAGTCCGGGATGTTTGGGATTGAGTTTTCCAGGATCAAAAACGAATTCTAACCAGTATTATCAGAAAACCGCATAAAATTTTAGCTTTAATTTTAGGTCTCTTAAAGATAAGGATGCAAAATTCCAATTTTTTTTTGGGTTTCCCACTGTATTGGGATTCTGACGTTCAGAATGATTTGAATGGTCCTGGATGTTCACGATTAGGTTCTTCTCAATAAACAAAAAATTCTTATCAATATTATCAGAAAACCACATCAAATTTCAGCCAGGAGCAATTAATTTAGGCCGCTCAAAGTTTAGGATGCAAAATGCCAATGTTTCTGAAGATCAGAAGAAGATGAAAAAATGATCCTGGATGTTCGAGAATGGGTTTTTCTGATTCAAAAATAATTTCTCAGCAATTGTATATGAAAAAAAAACCAAATCGAATTTTGCCAATGAACAATAATGTTTGGTCCCTCAACTTTAAGGAAGTTCAAGTTTAGGAAATTCGCTGTTTCAGTATTACTATAATTGTGGCACCTTCCATCGGTTCAGTATTCTTGTAGTGCTATGTTCATACCCATGCCTTTTGTCTATACGTGACCACTAGCAAAAAAAAACAAAAACTGCCCAACCACAGATTGATATGATAAGCACCTAGCGATGACATGTGGAGAGACACAGACATAGATAAGATAGTTTTATTATTGACCTGTCCATTTTAGTATCGTCAGTTGACCACTAGATTGTTCACCTAGTGGTGAATTTTGTTTTTTTTTGGCATTTCTATTTAGTTTCTTAAAATTTAATTTTTAAAAAATTCACTGTTTCGTGATTTTTGTCATTTCTCTTGGCTCCTATGCAAGATACAAAAGTTTGTTAACTGAGAAAATGTTTACCATATTATCACAAATATTTTTTCGGAAAAATTGGCTCAAATTTCAAAGTTGGGGAGCTCTTCTATTACAGGTTTTACTGCATATATTTTATTCAATGTATCCATAGCTTCAATTATTTTTTTCAGAAGATAAACCATGTCGGACCTTCGCCAAAACTTTGAACGCGATGGATTTGTGGTGATTGAGAATGTCTTTAATGATCAGGAAATTGAAGAAATAAAGGGAGCAATTGGGAAAATTGTAGAGGATATGAATTTGGCTGAGCACCCAAAAAGTGTATTCTCCACGTATGATGAGGATAAGGTAAAGATGTTATTCTTATGTGGAAGCCTGTATATGATTGAAAAAATGTATAGAGACTTCAAAAGTCTACCTTTTGAAAGTTGAATGATTTGCAATGACCTTTCTGAAACCTAGAAACCTCATGGACTATATTTCAGCACGCCGCCGACTCCTACTTCCTCAACAGCTCCGATAAAATTCGATTCTTCTTTGAAGAAGGAGCAGTTGACAAGGATGGAGAGCTCACGGTGCCAAAAGACAAAGCCCTTAATAAAATCGGCCATGGCCTTCATTTGCTGGACCCCACTTTCAAGAAAATGACATTCAATTCCAAAATTCAAAAGATTTTCCAAGGAATCGGTTATCAAGAGCCGGAAGTTGTGCAAAGTATGTATATTTTCAAACAGCCGAAAATCGGAGGAGCTGTGACTGATCATGTGGATTCTACATTTCTTAGGGTTAATCCTATCGATCATCTGACTGGTGTCTGGATTGCAATTGATGAAGCAAGTGTGGAGAATGGATGTCTTTCTTTTATACCAGGAAGTCACAAAGGTTCGTTTCGAAAATATTACTCCAAAATCGAAAAGTTACGATTTCCAGAGCAATTATGATGTTACTGAAACAGTAATGAAAATTCAAATTTTTCAGACACCTCCACCTCTGATTACCGCTTCGTCCGGACCCATGACACCACTGGTGGTCCACTATTAAAATTTATCGGAACTCGTCCAACATACGATCAATCCAAATTCCAACATGTACCAATATCCAAAGGATCTCTGATTCTTATTCACGGATTAGTGGTCCACAAATCTGAAGCCAACACTTCTGACAAGTCCCGCCATGCCTATACAATCCACGTCATGGAGAAGCAGAATACTGAATGGAGCAAGGATAACTGGCTCCAGGAGACCGAGCAATACAAATTCCCAAATCTATATAAGCAATAGTTGCCAAATGCAAATGTAGAACTGAATTCATTGTGTTCATTTTTTAAATAGGATTTTCTGGAAAGAGCTTTTTCGCTCCCAAATTTACAACTTCACAGTGTATCTTTAAATGTTCATGTACTGTTTATTAAACAAATTTCTAGTTCTTAATAATTTCATGAAATTGAACTTTATCTGACTTAAAAAATCATAAAATTACAGACGAACAAAGATATGAAAGGGATAATTTTTGTGCACTTCACAAATCCCAGCGATAGTTCTGCTTTGAGTTTCGGACGTTTTTTTTTTTAATTCACTGCTTCCATACTGTCCTAAACTTTGGTGCTTATCAGTGATAGGAGAAACCCCATTGTTTAGAGCATCCGAACAACGGAAACGGAAACGGAAATTCCACCCATCATTTGTCCTTATTCTATGTTTTTCAGTACTTTTGTTTGATTTTTTGACACCATAAAAACAAAGGCTGCCCCAACTAAAGATTGATATGACACGCATCCTAAAATGAACTTTTTTGTTTTGTTCAGTTTAATATTTAATGATCACTAGATGGTTCTTAACATGTGTTTTTTGGCTCTTCGAATTTCGTTTTTATTCAAAATTTTACTGTTTTATGAATCTTGTATATTTCTGAGTAATTTTTAGTGATCGTTTAATTCCACCGACATACGATCAATCCAAATTCCAACACGTACCCATATCTAAGGGATCTCTGATTCTTATTCATGGATTGGTGGTCCATAAATCTGAAGCCAACACTTCTGACAACTCCCGTCACGCCTATGCAATCCATGTAATGGAGAAGCGGAATACCAAATGGAGTGAGGATAACTTTCTTCAGGAGACCGAGAACTACAAATTTCCTAATCTTTATAACCAGTAATTTTCAAATGTTTTTGATTTATTTGTTTGAAAAATTATAATACAAACATCGGTGTTACAGATGTGATATTTTTCGTTTTCTTCACAAATCCCAGTCTTTGAAGTATATATTTCCGAAGAGAGTCTGAGAAAACCCAGAGAAGATATGGATTGATGCTTGCATAGAGGTCGCTGAAAATTTATTGAGTTTAGATTAACTTTAACTTTTTTGAAATTTAAGCCACTGTTATGAAACTACTACCATTTGAAAGAACGCATCATAATCTACAAAAAATTCAACTAGAGCTAATTTCTAGAAATTGATCTAATATAAGAAAAACAAGGTTGAAAATTGCTTCTTCTTTTTTTTCATTCCTTTTTTTAACCCCTTTCCGTCTCTCCGTGTCTCTTCAAGCAGTGGAAAGCCGCGCATTTCTATACTCCCTCCACCTCGTTCCTCTCTCAGCAAATTTTTGGCACATGTGCCGCTACTTGGGGCACCGGTGCCGCTGCAACGCGGTAATCGTGCCCGGGGGGTCGGGCACGCATGCATTTTGCGTGCCGTTGCCGTGCCGTATCCGTGCTCATGTGTGCCGTTATTCGAAATTCTTTCCCCAAAATTGGCTCAATTAATTTCAATATTTTCTTTAAATTTAACAGTTTCTTCGATTAGAAATTCAAAAAAAAATAGTAACAAAAAAAAAAGAAAAAACGATCATTTAAATCTGTAGAGAAGATTGTGTCGAAGATGTCGAATTTCGATGAAAGTACCTTTCGTACTCCTCTTCTCCAGCTTTATTGGTGTTGGGCTTGGCAGGGTGTTTCTGAAAGAACTTTAAAGATTATTTACATAACTAATTGGATGAAAACTCACATTTCTTTGGACGAATTGTCTTCCCGAAAATCCATCGGAAGTTGTCTGGCACGTTTTCACCGAAGATCAGCGGAACTGTAAAACATAGGGATTAACATTAACCTTTCGAACATTTTTTTTGAACACTGTCATTTCAAAATAGTTCAGTTTTTTACATCTCGCCCACTTACATATTTAATTTGGAATATTCATCGTTGCTGGTCGTAAAATATCTTCTTCTTCTTCAGTATCCCCCACGGTTTGACGACTTCCCTTCTCGTCTTTTATAACTGAAAAGATTTCCGACATCATTATTACTTGAACATCTCTCAACTCACCTATTTTCCTTCGGTGTCTCTTCCAACGGGACATCTGGTACAGCCAATGTCTGAAAACTAAACAGAAATATATTTCATGATTTTCCACCTGAAAGCCTAGAAAAACAAAACCAAATGCCATAAAACGGTGAAAAGTACAAAAATTTATGAAAATGAATGACAAGCTATTTTCGCAACATTTTCGAAACTATGGATAGAGACGATATGCGCAGGTGGTTCAAGAAAGGGCACGGCAGCGGCACGGTAGCGGCACGCCACATGCTTGCTAGGGGCACGGGTGCGGTGTTCCAAGGGCACTTTCAACGCGGCACGGTGCTGTTTGGATGCGGATCCTGTGCCCCTCTGTGCCCTGGCGTGCCGAAAATTTGCTGAGCTCCCGTGTCTTCGGTAGAATAGTGGTGAGTATCCGCGTCTGTCACATGCGAGACCCGGGTTCAATTCCCGGCCGGGGAGAAATCTTTTTTCTTTTTTCTGATTCAATTTTCCTATTTCCAGTTGCAAAATGGTAGTTTTATAAACACTTCATCTCTCACCTGACTGCATTATAAACCAAATAAAACTGATCAGTAGTGAATGCCAAAATGTCTGCGCCTTTAAAAATGAAAAGCGTCAAAATACACAGCTGGACTCCAACAATGATAGTGCTCATTGTGAATAGACGAGTCTCTCTCATCTTGGCTCTCTCTTTGGTTCGGGATCTAATTACCATGGTAGTTGGGGGCATCTGAAAAGAAGTTTATGTTAAACATTTGAAAATTATATCAATAATCTAGGTTACCATATGCTTTTGCCTCTTACGTAGAACCCAAAACAGATAACAATAGGTACAAAGTAAATAAATAGAGTTGATTAACAAAAACACACCACCAATTGCGAAAAATGTGTTTGTCATGGGTTTGCTGAAAATTTGGGAAATATTGTAAACCGCCAAGTTTAAGCCCAGATATCTCGGTTTCTGTGAAAGATATCCAAAAGTGGTCAAATAATAAAATTTTTATCATAATATCAGCAATATTTTATCAATTGACAACTTTTTTTTAACCTTTCACAGAAACCGAGATATATTTGTTCAAAGCTTTGACGGATCAGTGGCGGCCAATTGGCGGCTCTGAGAGGACCATAACTTCAAGCCCATTTTTTCATTTTCTGTAACAGATATCAAAAATGACCAACTGACCAAATTAAATGACCAACGGACCAAAAATCATCTTATCAGTAACACTTTATCAGTTGACAACTTCTTGATATCTTTTTCAGAAATTGAGATATGTGAACTTAAAGCTGAAGGGTCGGATTTGAACGCACTTACTTTAAAAACTTAGGGACTATCCCATTGTTTTTATTTCGAAATAGTTCTACTGGGTTTAAAAATGTTGCTAAACCAATAAGCAGTCCTGTGAGATACTGTATTGCGATAGCTATCCAGAGCCGGTATCCCATCCACATCTGAAATTCAATGTTGACGAGAATTCAAATTTCTTGATTACCTTATGAAAGCTTGTGGGAAATAACATTACTGATAATCGATTAGAAGCCAAAACTGACACTCCCATAGCTTGGCAAACGCCTGAAACGCTATGTTAATTACCGTAAGCCTGTAATAGAACAATCCTATAACATTCAACTTTGATTCAATTTATCTCGGTCCCTGTCAAAGATGTGAAAAAGTTATCAACTGATAAAACTTTTATCATAAAATCAGAAGTGTTTCATCAATTTCCGAGATAATTGAGCTTAAACTTGGCAGTTTGGATGCCCACCATATGAATTACGGTAATCTGGTTTTTTGATTTTTTAAAGCTAACTCGCATAGGAGTTGAGATAATTGAGCTCAATGTCGACGGTTTGGGTGCTCTTCTATTACAGGTGTTACGGTAGCTTACTTAAAGGAGCCGAGATAATTGAGCTCGAACTTGACAGTGTCGGGCCCTTCTATTACAGGTAGCTTAATTAGCCCAATTACCTGTACACCACGCAAAGTATAAATAAATTTTTCCATATGGGTTACCAAGAAATAGATACACAGTTGGGAACCATCCCCATTTGGGAAACATTGCGCCGAGATAATTGGTTAGGAGGGTCCCTGGAATATTTAAAAATTAATTTAAAAATTATTTTTTGAAAATAATTCTTTATTGTTTGAGAAACATATCAATTCCGAAAATTATTTCGAGAACTGTTGACGCAGAACTGTTACGATTTTCGAAAAAAAAAAATTAAAAAGCTTCAACTCACATATATCAACACCTGCTGTAGACAGGCATAATTTGAAAAATGGGCTGTTTAGCTCATCGATTTTCTTATTTTGCGCTTCTATCAACGCCCAAACAATTATCAAATAAATGGACATTGTGAGCAAAAACACACAAAATTGTGTGGTTTCTACGATATATACAATTCTGTCGTCTACAGTAAGAGAGTTGCTAGCCTCAGCAAGAGCCCAAAATTCAGGGGGAAGCGACATCTGGAATATGGGTTATATAACAAGAAATTTAAGCTAGAAAAAAAATCTGAAAGGAGGATTATTGAAAAATTAAAAGGCAATTTCTATTTATACCGTAAAACCTGTAATAGAAGGGAACCCCATACTGTCATGTTTAAGCGCAATTATCTCGGCTCCTAAAAGAGATATCAGAAATCTGTCAACAGATAAAATGTTTGTGATATAGTGATGAGTAATTTATCAGTTGACTACTTTTTCGTACCTTTGACAGGAATTGAGATGAAATGGCTAAAGTTAAAAGTTATTTGACCCTTCTGTTATAGGTTTAAAGGTAGTTTTAATGAAAATCAAACAGCTTTTTCAGTGTTAAAAAAGGATTTTCAAAACGTTAAAAAATCAAAGGTTTAAATCGAAATCGAAGAGCAACAGTTCTAGACAACTCTAACCATCTCAACTTTTTTGAATCTCCAAAAAATCGATTCGGAAATTAATAATTTTGGATATTATGGATTTTTGAAATTCTATTCTTGAAACAGAACTTTTTCTTTTCAAAATTCAAAATTTCAACTGCCATAGAGATCTGTTAGAAAGAAATCATCTGACACAAAATAACGCTTCAAGTTCTCTGTTTTCAAAAAAATTCTTACATTTCACTCTCTCCAAGCCAATAATTTGGCTTGTTGAAAATATCAAGGTACTAGTTAAAGATAAAGGACAAAAGGGATCAAAATGTTGGACTGAAATGCCTGATTTCAAGAAAATGATGATTTTTTTTTTGGAATTGATCTCTATGAATCTTATGGCTACCGTGAAACCTGTAATAGAAGGGTCCATCTATCTTGGTTCCTGTCAAAGATATGAAAATGTTAACTGATAAATTTTTGATCATAATATCAAAAATATTTTATCAGTTGACACATTTCTTTGCATAAGAGCCAGGTAAATTAGCTCAAACTTGACAAAGTGGGGGCCCGTCTATTACAGGCTTTATGATATGTTGATAATGTCTTTTTTAATCTCCAAAAACAAAAAAAAGAATTTGTCAAATAGATTACAAAATTTGAATTCCATTTTCAATTATAATGTTAAGTTAGTTAGAGGTTTTATGAAAAACGGAAAATTTACATAATCATTCTTAACTCCGAATTTCCAAGAAATGGACATTTTGAAACCGATAATTTTAGTCGAAACTATACACTTTTTGAAAATCATTTGAAATTTTTTTGATTCTTTGATTTTCAAATCATTCTTAT